TATAAGGAGATACTTGTTCCACTGGTTTCCTAGCGCAAACGGGATCCGCTGGCATCTTGGGAGTATAACTTCCTGTGCTCCATTTTATGTCCATTTGATCGCTACGTTTATTTATTTCTGCCTGACTGAACTGCTTGATCTAGTTAGTTAGTCACGCCATGTTTGAAAATGGTTACTAGAATTTCTGCAATAACTAAAAAAGTCATTACCAGCAGTACAAGTAAGCGAAAGTAAGTGAAGGAGATGAGCGAATTCTGCAATTCTGTACATTACTGAGCTGTCCGAGAACGAACTACTTGAACTAAAACCGCTTGGAGTACTCTTTTTTGCCCGCCTTGGCTGCTGCTTCGATAACTATACTTCACAGAATGTATTTTGGTGGAGCATACGATTTGACTCTAGGCAATGGCTTCATCACAGTAACGATTCCTTTAGAAAGAGTGCTCTCCAAAGCCAAGACTAGTCCAGAAAAATCATAATACTGCTGGAACACCGTCAAGTAATGAATGCTGATGGCTCTTCTGTATCATGAAATCATCTCTAATTCTAGAAACTGTGAGGGCAACTGAGCAGGGGACAGCGAGACTTGGCAATTGACTGACTGCTGCCCACCATCAGAAGTGCCTTTCAGCCACTTGTACGACCATATTTCCACATTCGCATTTCAACAAACCATTCATCAAAATGAGGGCAAATACTGCTGAAAATGCTTCAAAACTTTTCCACAGCTTAATGCATCGCATGCATACTAGGAGAACATAGAGCCACACTACGAACGAGGTTACCCAACAGCGCTCGAATATCTAGAATAGTAGGATAGGATGATTCTACAAACCTTCAAATCACTGCCAGGAATAGGCAACTTCCTTGGGGTTCCTCCCAAGGCCAACACAAGTTTGCTGTACGGCTTCTGCTCTCCTGTCGACAATGTGACATTGCGATGGAGGGTATCAATTGCCGTCACCTGAAATTTTCAATCACCATATATGTAGCTGATAGTTGCACTGGGGTTCGATTGACTATTGCACATTACCATGCTTGCACACAGTGGAGCCCTCGTTTTCGCTCCCTTTTTTTGCGGCTCCGTATTATCTACAGAATGTCTTAATCCCCTGAAATTTTCAGTCAGTCAACCGCTGCCCTACACCAGTTTCGACGCCTCATAATAAAAGTCGCTAAGTCTCTGGCATAGGGCCAGGTGGCGCATTGACACACTCGTGATCCACGGCTTTGATCGGGGTTAGTGTGATATATAATAGTATACCACCTCTACTACCGCAGTTCA